GTGTCTGTTTACTTACTTGAGTTTTCTCGTATTTCTCTGTAACAGAACCAGATCTTGTATAGTAGTTCTATGTTACTGTCATAAGTTTTGAGGAAAGAGAAGGTCTTGATTCTTCATTGTCCATTTTATAGTAGTCTTCATCCTAAATCATTCCCTCCATCCAAAGTTGCTCTGATGATCCAAATGGCACCTGCTGGTTTGCTTTAAGCTCCTTACCCCTTCTTGTCCCCAGACAGAACACAAGATAATCTTTTTTTTTTTACATGATACTTCCCACACTTCTTTTCTTTTTTCAAAGGCAAGTCCCCAGAGTTCATGAATGCAGATAAATTACCTCTATAAACACCTATAAGTAAGCATTCCACCTATTTATTCTAGCTTTCTTAGTCTTTTTGTGTTGCCCTATGCTCTGTATAGTATTTTAATCAAAAGCAAAACCAAATGCAAAGAGGATGAAATATCAGAATGCATTTTATTTATTCTTTATAGAAATTAAAATATAGCAAGTAAAATTTGATCACTGAAGTCATCAAAGTAGCATTTTTACAATCCAGGTTGTGAATAAATTACTAATCCTTGATTATGTATTTTTCCAAATTTTATTTTTGAAATGTGTGATGTGTTTATACAGTCATCCCCAAGATTAGGATCATTTACTGATTAAAGGAGTTTACAGCAGATGAAGAGAAGATTTAATATGTTTAGCAAAGCAAGTGGTCTGTTTAGAAAGGCTCATCTCTGATACTGTTGGAAGTCCAGTAAATCAGTCTTTTATAATTTGTTCAGCACAGTGGGGCCTTGCAGTGCTCTCTGTTCCTCATTTTAGCTGTAGAAGGTATTCAATTATTTAATACAATTCAAAGAAGATACCAACTTTTCTTAAAGTGCATTAAAATCTTGGCTTAAGCAAATTAGTTTTGTCATCACATTAATTTCAGTGATTTAAAGCACCAATATTAATATATACAAGACCGAAACTCAGTATTAGCTTAGTATTAATAGTAATTTAATGTGGGTATTGTCATTATGAAGATTTCCTTTGTTTGGCAAGCACTGTAGTGAGAATCTAGAAATTGGTAAGCTGTAAATGCAGTTTCATCTTCACGTTTAAATGGTGTTCTTTATATGCTTTCATGTCGCTACTCCTGTTTTCAAATGGTATTTCATTTTATGCCTTTTCTTTCTACTATTCTATATATAAATGGACTAATAGGTACTGAGAAATGTTAACTCTCTCAGTACAACATTTATTACCTAAGATGTAATTATGGAAATATTTTAGTACATATATATGGGGAGTGACATTTGTCATTTATACATAGATCTGCATTAAGCAATTCAAGAAGTCATTAAAATAGAGGTCAGAGACCTTTTGCAACACTGTCCAGATGGAGTATATGTATTCTGTGCTGCCGTCATAGAGCTGTATCTTCACTCTGTTACTCAAAAATATGAAGCATGGAAGTGTGATGCTTTGACCGTCTTTCTGCACATTGTAGTATGTTGTGCAGCGAGGGAACAGTCTGTCACAGTACAATCAATTCTTGTTGGCAACACAAGGAAGAAATATTTTCTTAGACTTTCAGAAAATACTAGAACTTAAATGTGGCTCAAACAGATTTTTATTTCTAAAATTAATCTCCTTTTTTGTTACTTAAAATCTGTTTCCTCAAACATCTGGTTTAGAAGATTAAGTTAAAACAAGCAGTGCTCTCTTACTTGCAGATATAATCTCCCATTCACTGTCCTAATAGGAAAGCAATAAGAAAGGAAATAATATAATAGAAGACACCAATTTCATCACTGCTTGGAATATGCTATTCAAAATATAGCTTACCCACTCTCCCCTGTGAGTCTCAGAAGTGGTTTGTAGTAGAAATTTTGACAGGTTTTTTTTTTTTTTTATAACCTTGTCATCAGTCAACTGGCAATTTCAGGAAAGCTTCAGTTATAGTCTGTATGTTTCAGTCTCAAGATCTGTATTGTAAATTCATCTTATGATTTCTAGTAACTTTATACATCTCATTCCCAGAAGCCTAATGACTACTAAATTCAAATGCTTGCCTAATGCAAAACACTTGCCAAATTTAAAAACAGAATTATTCTTTGCAGCTTAATAAATCAGAATTATTGAGCTCTATCCAACTTTAAGAAGTAATTTTGCCTAAAATTTCCTGCAGTGTAATTGAGAGTATATTAATAAATTACATATCAGGCAGTGGACATCCAGTACAAAATACAAATGTTGTATTCCTGTGTTTCTTTGTTTTATTTTTGAGAAATTACTTTGTGTTACTTTAATATTCAAGAAATAAATAGGTGTGTGTCTGTAACTATGCAGAAGCATGAAAAAGGATTAATTTTTACAGATTGTCTGGTTTTATATATTTATTCTTTTATATATATGTATAGACATATATTAAAAACCGAAAGCAGTTATGTAAGTAAACAAATAAGAGAGATTGAACCTCAAAATAAACAACCTGATATACAAAGGAAAAAAAACACGAAAAGCACAAACCAAAAGACCTTATTGCTCTTTTTAGTATTTTTTCAATGGTATGTATATTCGGAAAAAATGTGTATGACCGTACTTGATTCTACTTTGTTAATACAGTTGATTTGCTTTTAAATGTGTTTATCCTTTTTTTCCACTGTATTTTAAACAAGCTTTTGCAAAAATCGAATAGTGCAGTACTTCTACTTAATAGCTGTTATAGTTCAACAGTCACCTGAAATTATTATCATCGGTCCTTTTTCATTGCAGCCATACGTATCTGTACTTTAGGAAGATTGATACGAGTTGAAAATTGTGATGCTTCCAGTTTCTTGAATTACTTGTGGTATCAGTGATTAGGTCTTTGTTCACTGTTGAAGAGTTCTATGTATTTTCTTATAAATGCACTAGTTAGATTTAGTAAAACCTGTGAAGAACAAACTATTTTTCCTCTTATTAATTAACTTAGCATACCAAACCAAGAATACCAAACAATACAGAACACAGTATGCAGTGGTGTTGATCACATGAACTATCAGATGTCTGAGGTATTTTAGTCAAAGCGTATTTTTAGAGATTTGCTAGAGAACTATAATTTTTTCTTTGGTTGGGTTTTTTTTTGTTCAGGTGAAAAGTTAAATATATAGCCATAATAAATGAAACCTATCAGAATAAGTTGCAGTTTTCCATTCTGTTTGGTTGCAGATTCCCTCCTTCCACCTGTTAGTTTAAGCTTAAATGGTAGAAATCAGTTCATTGCAATTTCAGACTTTGGTAAGAGAGGTAATGCATTGTCCCGTTGAAATCAGAAGTATAATTCTATAATTGAATAGTGCTATCGTGGAATCTGACAACTTTTTCTAACTAATTCTAGACCATTCCAAATGAACCTATGTTCTGCACAGGAAGACATGGATGAGTCTTTTTAAATTGTCTTGATTTTTCATAATGGATAGCATCTGCTGACAAATAAAATTTTGCCAAGCTAAATTTTTTTTATAATACCCTATAAATGGTAGTATTTTTTATTTAAGCCTATTGAAAGAGTCTCAGTTAATGCTTAAGCTGTATATATTCTGGTTTTGTTTTTATTGTTTTATAACTGAGTTACAAGTTGGAAACACAAAATAGGATCCGTTTATTAAGATTTTTTTTCCTGTTTTGGCTGCTTGTTTATGTACAAACTATGAAAAAAAACGGATCTTCATATTGCTTAACATACAGCTAAAGTATTTGTGTGTGCATATGTACAAGCCCGTATTTTGCTAATCACAAATTTATGCATTCACAGTGTCCCAACGTTCTCATATGCATTAAGAGTTTTAGTGCAAAAGTATGTATACCTATTTTATGAGGGACTATCAATGATTGTAAGTAACAGAATTGCTGAAAGTGTGAAATTTTGCTTCATTTATTTCTAAATAGTGTTGGTTAGTAATTATATTACCATATGATAAATCACATTGTATAGCATTTTAACATCTTTTTTCTTAAAGTAGTGTAATTTTGGATATTTTATAACAATTTATAAAATTTTATTTATGTCAAAAAACTTGCTTTGAATAAGTATTGTATGTTATGTTTCAAAAATTGGAGTTTTATGTTTTCACAACATTTATAAAAAGAGTTATTCTGTCAAGATCTAATACTTTAAGAGAAATGTGTACATAAAGTTTTTAAACAGAGCAGTGCTTTTTGATATGTTCAAGAACTAATGTTAAGCGTATGTATATTATTTAGAAAAGTTGATCAATAAATATGACTCTTAATTCTTTTTTGTGTTTATTTTGAACACAGCCCTGATGATAAATTATTAACCTTTGCTCAACTAAATGAACAGTTTTAATGCTAAACATGAATATATTATAGTAATTTATTGTGAAGGTGTGAGTTGCATGTTCATCCATCATGAGATTGATGTTTACATTTTTTCACCTGTTTCTTGATTAAAAATATTTTAGCAGTTAGTATATTGCTAAAAACTCCATAGCTTCAGTGTAATTTTTGTAAGATATGGAGCACAGTTTGCTGGCTATAGTCTGTGCTATACAATGGTGCGTTATAAGGTGCCATAGTAAATGTTTCTAACTTGTTTCAGACATTGGCCCTCTTTGTTTGTAGACTGATAACTGTTTCTAGTGCACTCATTGAACTTGCTGGAATTTTAGTTTACTATAGACTTCATTTTCCCCAAGAGGAGGAGAGAGGAAAGAATTCCTCATGTGGTCAGCATATTTTTGAGTGTTTATGTGAGTACACCATCTTGATTTCAAGTCATGAATTTGTTTTTACATGCACAAGCATGCATATTTACATGCATTATTTATCCAGTTGACTTTAAATTCCATTAAGTTCCAATGAGTAGGAGAAAGATTTTGTCTTAGGCATTTTTTATTTATTTTAATTTTCTAGTTATGTTACTTTTGTTGGTTTATTTATTTTTTTAACTGTTCAGTCTAAGGCTTGTAAAGGTTGATTTGCTCCTGAACTGCTTTGTTCCCAGACATTGCCATCTTCCCCAACTACCACCAAGTCCTCTCCATCTGATCCCATGACCACCTCCAGAGCCAATCAGGTACAGTATCATCCTACCATCTACACCATACTTTTCACGGGTGACAGCTTGCAGACTGGAGAAAAGGATATGGTGGGTTAAGGATTTATTCGTTCATTCACATATATACACCCATAACCATAGATATCTAACTCTTGTTAGAAATTGGTAAATTAAATGGAAACTTTTTTGTTCTTTTGATTTGTTTCGTTGTCTTTTTCAAATCTCTGATGAAAGCAAAATACCATGAAAAATAGTGGGTTTTTTTTTGTTTGATTTGATTAATAAATAGCAAGGATACACTCTGGTGTGTTTGTAGACAGTAACTCTTGGTATATGTATGTTTATGTATATATGCACACACGTATTTACTTCCTGGATCATTTAGAAATTGTAATGGAATTATCCCTAAAATCAGGATAATTTACCTTGATATCATCAAGATAGAAATGGCAGACTGACCTCTTTTGTTTATTTAGTTTAAGAATTTTGAAACATACTTATGGACAGTAGTATAGGGACATTCTTTAACTAGCGTATGTAAAAAAAAAAAATCTTTAAAAACATGCTAAACACATCTAAGTAAATTGAATTCATGTCTTATTTTTAAATGCATAAGCTAAAAGCATATATGCTTTTAGCAGTATTTTAATTACACTCATTTATTTCTCTTTTAACTGGAAAAAAATATATCCAGTTCATTATGTCCACAAATGATCATAGTATGTATCTTTTTGCCTTCCCTATGAAAGTTGTTAAAGTTACTTCAGACCAAGCTTATTAGTACTGATTCATGCTTTATAAATACCTAATTCATTTTTTAATGTACCGTTAATGTTCTTTGTGTTCAAATAATATGTGCTAACAGTTTTTAACACACAATCTGTTTATTTAAGTTAGCTCAATGCTTCTATCAATCTTGCACAAATTATATCAAATACCAGAGAAGTTTTCTTCACAGAAAGCTGATTTCCCCTGGAAGTTAACACTGTTATTAATTACTGATCCTCTGATGTTTTGTGAACTGCTTAGAGCTTGCTGGCTGTATGAAGAAACAATTCAACATACAACAGAATGCAAGCATATTAGAGCAATATATCTTTGATCAACACATTACTATCTGTTGAAAGGGACATCTATTACAGAAAGTAATGAAATTTTAGAAACAATTTTAGAAATTGTACACATAGAGCTGCTACTAAGAAAAATATAAATTGCAATATCCCTCACTTCAATTTGAAAGCCTTCTACCTCAGCCTGCTTCCATTCCAGCAACAGTTATTTGGCTTCATCATCATTAAATGACGAAGATAAAATCTTTGCCAAGAGCTAGGATATTTTATGAACATTCTGCTAAGACTTTATTCTCTCTCTCTTACTTTTAGTATTTTGTTTATTTTAATTAGAAGGTACTGAAAATGTTTAGTGCACAGGTCTTTTTTTTAAAGTATTTTCAGTGTTCTGTGTTGTCTTTCCCACTGTTTGTGGGTGTTTTGTTTTGTTTTTTAATTATGAGTGTACCCTGATGATCATTATTTGGAGAAAAAGAAAAAGGTGCTTTTATTTGCAGGAAATACTGTTTGATCATGCTGTTCAGTTAGCATCAGAGAAGTACCTACTTTTCATCTGTTCTATGGATTTTAAATTATCAAAATTACCGTGTCACATATACACTTTAAATGACTTTTTAATAGATAAGAAAACTTATTTTTGTAGAAAGTTGTTTGGTGAGGATTAACTAAGTATACTAAAATAAAGAATATACACTAATACTGAAAATACTTCTTTTATTAGAAAGTCATTCTGTGAGAATATTAGCAAGTGATATGGCTGAATATACGAACTAAGGCAAATGTATGTTTTATGTCCTCCTCTATCATGCATTACATCTTTTAATGCATTTTATTCATAACCTGTGCTCAATTCAGTTTTCATCCAAATAATCAAGATCTCTTTTAAACAGTATTAAATTTTTATATATGAAGAAGAGTAATAAGTTCCTTACGTGACTTTTGGAACTGTTTTGATCATTAACCCTTGAAATTCTTATTGGTCTGTAATACTTTTATCCCTCCTAATATTTCCTAGTGGTTTCTAGCCTTTCCAACAGGAAGCACAAAGCACATGATAAGAAAATTAATGCCTTTTTGTTCATTCTAGTGATAAGTAGCTGGCAATTGTTCCCAGACTATAGTACTGATTAGCATTCAGCACCAGTGTATCGAAAAGCATCTGCACTGCGGCTATCACACGAAAATAGGTTCCAATGCAGTAATCTCAAACTTGTCTGTAGTCAAGCACCCAATGGGAGAGTATTAGAGAACAACTAATACTTGTTTTGATGTGTCACTATGTAATCACTATTTTCAATAGAAAATAACCATTCAGGTATGGGTTTTCTGGCTAGATGTTATGTTAGGGTAATGGGAAAGAGCTTATTTAAGTGGATGGAAGTCAGGAAGTGTAGTATTAAGGTGTAATAAATTCACAGTGCACCTGTTGTGTGGATATGGTAGCATATCAGACTTAAGATCATTGTTTTCTATAGTATTTTAATTGTGACAAGATGATTTTTTATATTAAAAATTAATAATGTGATTAAGCAAGATTTAAGCAATATGTAATGCCGGGTTGCTGTTGGAGTGAGATTTTGCAACTGGGTTGCTGAGCTCCTCATAAGTCATTACAATTAGAAAATGTTCAAGTACATATGTTTATGAGCATACCTGATGCAATCCTTCCCGCTGTACAACCGTATCATGTCAGTTATGTTCCCCTGACAGAGCTTGCATAGTGGGCAGAGCAATTTCTAGGGCCTTTTTTTTACTACAAGAGAAAAACATCTCTGCCAGCAGAGGTCAGAGGAAGCTGGGCAGGAAATCTGGCTTGTATTATGTCTTCCTTTTAATAATGCACTTTGCCTCCGTTCACATGTGATCATAACTGCTTTGTATGGCAGTTTTGCCTTTTGGTGAATTGTTTTTTTGAAAAATCCAGTATTCATGAAACTACTCATTTTATGATTTTCAAGAAGAGGATAGTCTCTAAGAAGTTTGATCTAGTGGAAGAAAACAGTTCCTTCAGAACTGTCACATGTCATGTTATACTGAGTTACAGATGCAACAGAAATCTGTGCGTTGGAAGTGTTTTTTCTTTATTTCTTTGTTCCAGGAAGACATACATCTGTCAATGTTATATTGTCATAAATATCTTGTTTATTTTTGCAGTACAGCTTCCTTGGACCTTTGTTCACATTAAAAATTAATGCACTGCAAACTTCCTAAGGAAGAAAGAACCAAAGATGCAATAGAATTAGGGCATTCCTCCCCTCCCCTCCCCCCCCCCCCCCCCCCCGTTAATCCGTCACTAAAAAGAACTCAATCTTTCTGTACTTTTAGACTAAGAGCCTCTATGTTAGCCCCTCATGAACTTTGTCAGCTTTGTTTATAACAACAGTGACAGAGATATAGCTACAGGGGTGAAACTATTCTGATGCCCTTGGAGCTAGAGGAATATAGCTTTACTTCTGTTTACCAGAAGCAGGAAATCAATTTTACTTTTCTACAGTAAACTTCAAGTGGGAATTTCATCTCCAAAGTGATGAATAACACCATAAACATCATATAAAACACGTTTGCTTCTCCTCTGTAGTACTTTGTAAAAGTACAAGTTTTAATACTTAATGTTAACAGTTAAGTGACATTAGGTAGACAAGTATTTCTATAATTAAACTGTTTACATATTTTCTTCTGTTTACAGGATTTTTTTCTGTTTTATCTGCCTGCTTTGCTGATGTTACTGTTATTTTAGAGGGAGAAACACAAGTGATATAAACCGAAGCTGTGTATTTCTCCTTTATCTGTTTGATGTACACCTGTAAATGCAGTTGCAAACCCTTGCATGTTTCCTTCTCTAATCCTCCCTTTTTCCATGAGATTGATACCACTCCTGACCTTTACTACTAGCTTTAAGAGAATAAAAGGCCAAAATGCATATTCCCACTTTCAAGTGAGTCAGGAGAGTGATAGGTAGGAGGCCTTTCCTCTTCCTTTGTAATTTAGGTAGGCTTAAATTCAGTAATGTGATAGGATTTATCATCACAAATTTTGTGTTATGAACTTATGATATAAGCCTTCTTTTATTTTTACTTCTTTAAAACACTATTTTTTCCCGTGACATTTGCATTTTTTGCAATTATACCTTCTGTTTTACTACTTTGTTCCTGCACTTGAAACCCTTATTCTATCATTTAGTATACTTTAATATAAATTTTGTAGAGTGCGGATAGGTGTAGGATTTGCCTATTCAGTCCTCAAGGTTTACAGTTTTTGTGGAGCATATCTGCGTCATCTGGTCACCATAATATTTGTCATAAATAATACTTTTCTGCCTTTTTACATGATGGGACTGAGCCTTTTTTCTTGGTACTGACTGTACCCAACAGGCATAGTGCAAGTATATAGCTGTTACAGTCTTGGTATTAGGGATTTGTACTTTTGTCTTATCTCTTTATTTTATGCAAAATCTGTAGCTTGCAATGGAATATAATAGTAGACGTAATGAGAAACTGGGGAATTAATTAATATCTCTAAACTGTAAGGATTGTAAGGATTGGTCTCCCTCTTTCTGACTTTAAGGAGGAGTCAGTCCTATTGCTGTCTATAAAATGACTTGCAAAATTGTAATCTTTTCATTCCTGATAAAGAGGTAGAATCTGAAAATAGAGGCTCTCTGTAAAGCATACTGACAGCTTTTGAAGGGTTGATGAACTCATATCACTTATTCTTAATACATATGTTGTGGGAGGTGGAAGAAGAATAGGAAAGAAAGCTTTATTTTAGTCTTCTGTTATCGTTAGGACATGGAATTTTAAATATGTATAATAATCAAATTATAGAGTTTTTATCAATAGATTAATTTTAAAGTACAAATAGTGAATTTTAATGATGATCCCAGGATCCTAGATAGGCCATCAAGATACTATGACTATGCGCCTTTGATAATTTGATGGGAGGGTTAAG